ATATCATATGTAATATAAAAAACTTTTAATGTTTAACTAAGATTAAATAATAATAGATGAGATTAAATAATGTCATCTGTAAAGTACTTTATCAGATCTACAGATACATCCTCAAAATCTTAGCCATGTTGACATGCAAAGAAAACTACATTCTCTTCCTTTCTTCTTATCCTTTTACAAAATCATTTAGACCGATGGATTAGGAACAAGGGATGATGAAAGGAACTGTAATCTTTCAAGGTTTCATGTTCATGTCCATGTCCGTCATCACATAGTTTAGTCCCTATGAGGTTTTGTCTATATATAAGTAAGAGCAAAAAGTATTAAGATAAGTAATTAGGAGAGTTCCTCCCAAGAATATTTTTTAGGAGAGTTCCTCCCAAGAACATTTTCTAAGAAATCTTACCTTAATTGAACTTCGTTTATATTGACTTATAACTTTAATTAAAATCCAATCATATCTATAATATATCTTATCAATTACATAGTGTCACATAATTTAATATTCTCCCACTTGACGGATAAGATATAAAGAAATTTAAAATTTAAAAAATAAAATAAAATTTATTTAAAAATAACTTTACCTAATTAGATTCTAAAAATTTTGAAAAGTATACATTGCCATGAATTTTAAAAACAAACTAACAAATCTAATAAACATAATAATACCATATTAAGTCAAACTATTAATGTGAATCATAGCGATTGTATGTCATCAATGGCATACTCATTTCTATATACCACAATATTGTTAGTCATTTCTAATATATTTCATAATGACCCTTATAATTTATCTTTTCAAGACAATCATGTTATTATATTCAATTGTAATATACATAAATATAAATATAAATAATATAACATAAATAAATAACTTTAATTAAGTAAGAAAAAAAATCAATAATAGCATTCACATCATTATATCTTTTATGTCTTACTCATAAGAATATATTCTTTAAATATTTTAGATTGTAAAGCTTTAACAAATTAATCAACGATCATCATAGTGGTGCTCGGGTTCTCGATTATCTCTTATTGTTTCTAGACTCGTTCTCTAACCACCAAATACTTTATCTCGATGTGTTTAGACTCACTATAATAAATGTGATTGTTAAAGAAGAAAAATATTGTGATATTATCACAAAAATATCTTCAGCGGCCTGACAATTAAGTCAACAACACTAAGTCCTTAGATAAAATTTTGTTGCCATAAATATTGATTTATGGTCTCAAAGTATATCACAAATTCAACTTTATTGTTGATGATGTAATAAATGATTGCTTTGTACTTTTTCAAGAAATTATCCCTCCAACTAATATGAATATAAATCCTGAAGTTGACTTTCTATTATTGAGACAATTTACAAAATCAGCATTGAATATCTCATTACTTCAAACTAATCTAATCTCTTATATGTGAACATATAATCTTTCATCCCCTGCAGATATCTTATTGAACACCCGACTGAACTGTCGTCTTTCTATTCTTATGATCATTAATTATTTCATGAAAAAACTTCCGAGCGAATATAATTAGCTCCTAATTGGTATTCCTTACTTAAACCCAAAGATTTGAGGTTGACTAGGCCTCCCAGCCAAATCGAACAGTTTGAGTGGTAAAGCATAAGTAGTAGAAGAATAATTCCTCGATCAGGCAATTCAACACTCTTCTCGGTTGCCGATCGCTGAGAAGCGCATGGCGTTCACGAGCAATGGCATGTTGTATACCTTGAGGAATCAATCCATTTGTCCATGCCATAGGGGTTTCTCCTCACACACCCCCTGGTGTAAACTCCTAGGTTCCATTTCTTCCTGCAAACACTGACAGGAGGGAGAGCTGAAGTCGTTGCAGCTATTAAAACCATCTCTTCGGTAACATCGTCTAGTTTCTACCGCTTCAGTTCACCAGTAAAATCCAGCATGAAGTTCTGGATGGTGGAGCTATCACGAAAGCAGTATATGAAATCATTCACATCCATGTTCGTAGTGTTTAACATAGGTTGTTCGATCTCATCTCTAGGATTGTAGCAAAAGACCACTTTACTCCAAACCCCGGGGTGGTATAGTACCGATCTCTATGGCATGTTGTATACCTTGAGGAATCAATCTATTTGTCCACGCCATAGAGGTTTCTCCTCACATACCCCTAGGTGTGAAGTCCCAGGTTCCATTTCTTCCTACAAACACTGACAGGAGGGAGAGCTGAAGTCGTTGCAGCTATTGAAACCATCTCTTCCGTAACATT